TTTTTTAAACTGCCACAGTTTTATTTGTGTAGAAGTTTGGAAAACTCAGAATTCATTTTCCTGTGAAATCAATGTTATGAATACCTACCCAAAAACACCGAAGTGTTTATAATTATTGATCCTAGAATCTCACTTCAAAGAATGTGACCTAAGAGACCAATTCAATGGGAAAAGACAACTAGAGATGTTCCATAATCTGTTGTTGTTAAACTCAAAAAATAGATACTAAATGTACCACAAAAAATTGTTTAAAAAAAAAAAACTAAGAGAAGTCAGTGAATTGTGACATTAGGCAAATATCAAAAAATGATTATGATGTAAATCACGTAATTGCACAGAAAACATTTGCAAGAAATGCTGGGTAAAGGAATCACATGTATTTATATTTTGGGCATGCTTCACACTTACAATTTCACAGAAATATTTATGTATATATTCATGCCAAGAGAGCATTATAGAAAAATGAAATTAGTTGTATTAAAATAGTAGGAAGGTTAGTAAAATTTGTCTTTAAATGGTGCTATATTATTTTTAAAATAAAATGAAAACATAAAACAATGAAAATGTCAGTTAGATCTCTGTATCAGTGTGTGAAAGCCCTTTTAACTTAAATGTAGTGAATTAAGTTCTAACAGTTCCACTTTGCAGTTCTAGGGCCTGAAGAAGAAAGATTAATAGACAGGGCAGGAAGAAAAGATAAAAGGACTGAGGAAGGAGAGGGGCAGAGGGGAAAATGTGTGTAAAGAACTCCAGCTTCAGGGCCAGCGCTGTAGTGCAGCGGGTTAATGCCCTGGCCTGAAGTGCTGGCATCCCATATGGGCACCAGTTTGAGTCCTGGCTGCTCCACTTCCAATCCAGCTCTCTGCTATGGCCTGGGAAAGCAGTAGAAGATGGCCCAAGTTCTTGGGCTTCTGCACCCGCATGGGAGACTCAGAAGAAGCTCCTGGCTTCAGATCGGCACAGCTCTGGCCGTTGTGGCCAACTGGGGAGTGAACCAACGGGTGGAAGACCTTTCTCTCTGCCTCTGCTCTCTCTGTGTAACTCTGACTTTCAAATAAATAAATAAATCTTTAAAAAAAGAATTCCAGCTTCCTCATTGCCAGTCTGTGCTTGCTTTTGACATTTCATCTTAAGTTGCTCTCACTTCTCTACCTTCTTGAATCATTTCCTCCCCTGGACACCTTTTTATTTTTTTCCTGATATCGTATCTACCTGAACACCACATCCAATCTGGACACCAAATCTCTCTGCAATGACTATTACTGTGAAGCAGTATGTACAGGTTTCAGAAGTAGGGGAGAGGGATCCCATCTACCTCCCCCTGAGCGCTCATGATGGCTCTTTGCCTGGATCACAACACAGTAATAACAAAGTAAAACGGGCAAGTTCTACTTATTGGATACATATGTGGGGATCTCCACAAGTAAGTGAAGAAAGTCTGAAGAAATGACCAAGCAAGATGCTTTTACAATTTTTAGACAAAAATCAAAGCATTTGTGAAGGAATGACAGGATGAATGGATCTAAGGATGAGGGTTATAAATTCTAGGGATGTCATTAAGAGCTCTATGGGGAGCGGACAGTGCGGAAGCAAGCGGAAAACAAGGGTTCCTTCACAAAATTTGTTTATTGGGGTTCACTGCAGCCCCGGTTCCATTCTCTGGTGATAAAGGCTGCTTTCTCACCCTGGCATATGAGGAACCCTCTGGGAAGAGTCTTTCTGGCTTGCTGCACCTAGGAAAAGAGGAGCCAAATGACCCTCCCTTCAGTTACAGTTCCTCAGATGGGTTTCAGCTTAAAATTACCAATATACCAATTCAGCATATTTTGAGATAGCATTTATTCCCACCCGACCAAAAATTAGCTTGGCAAGTGGGAAAGAAAGCAAGACTATTTCTTCCCTCTGAAGGTTACCGCCTTGACCTATTGATTTATCATAATAAGGGTCATAGTTTAAAGGCTGGTAATATTTCATTTTTGGCCTTTCTAATCACATGAGTTTCTTCCTAGTTGGTCCAGGGAATCCATTTTCTGAGGTCAGGTACACGTTGGAGGATTTAGGTGCTCATCTGGGTAAGATTATGAATGTCAGAAAAAATGCAAAGAAACAGACTTACTTAATATTCACCTTCTGACACATCAACAAGGACTAAGAAAAAAGGCAATGGTCTTGCACTAGGCTGCACTAGGGTACACCTTTAATAAAGGATTTTCTAAACACCCCTCCCTCTCCTCACTGGCATATTATCTATGAATCCTAGATACTCTCACTTACAGAGCCCTCCCTGCAGGACAACTACATGGTGGGGCTATAACTCTGCGAGCTGAGTGCCTCTCTGGAAGACAGAGAATATGACATATGAGTTGAGTTCCGTCCACCCCAAATTCATCTGTTGAATTCCAACTCCTGGTATCTCAGAATGTGATCTTACTGGAGACAAGGCCTTATAGAGATCATCAAGGTAAAATGAAGTCATCAGGGCCGGCCCTAATCCAACACAATGGGTGTCCTTATTAAAATAGGAAATGTGGGCCCAGATGGGAGGCTCTGTGTTAAGATCTACAAGCCACGGAGAGACACGAGGACCAGATTCTCCCCTAAAACCCTCAGAAGGAACCAGCCCTGCAGACACCTTGATCTCCGATTCCCAGTCTCCAGACCTGGGAGACAATAAATGCCTTCTGCTTAGGCTGCCTAGTTTGTGGTGTTTGTTATGGTCAGCCACAGAAAACTAATACATAGACAAAAGAAAGCTTAAAAAAAAATCAGAAGCTTTTCTACTCCGAGGGTCTGTGGGAAGAAGAGTAAAGAGGAGCTGCTCCTCCTCCCCTCCCTTGGGGCTCTAGAAGGAAGCCACAGTAATAGACCTCCTTGTACCAACTTGAGACACCACACATCAGAGTCAACGTGGCCACACAGGATGGTCAGCTGAGCAGGCTGAGGTTTAGCTCAACTGAATCTTCCTCAGTTCAAGTGGGGTCCACACAAGACCCCCACCCCCAGTGATGGACAGAGTCTGCAGGGAGGCAGTCGGCCACAGCAGCTACAGTGGTGATATAGGCCTCTGTATTTTAATTTCTATTCCAGGGTCTTGCCTCACACAGAGATAAGAAACTGGGGGCTGAGGCAAAAAGAGGGCTCTCATTCACATTTGCAGTCTCTTTCATGAGGTGAGAGTGGTATCCTAACATGCATGATGCCAGCAGGGGATTTTATGGCACCTCCATGTGGCATTTAATATCCACACAATCGTGGCATCTGCACTTCTAGGTCCCAGATGAGACACAGGGGCATCCTGGGAAGATGGGCATTTTTGACTAACAGATAAAGAGATAACATTACATTGTAAGGCTTGCAAAGGATTCCAGCTCACTTAGCTCTAACTAGCTGCCTCTCTAGTCATATCACATCAGTAGCAGGGATGGACTGACTCTATAAAACTATAGTAGATGCTTAGGCTCAAATCAGTAGTTTCAGAGGGCATATAGTCCTAGCAGGCTAGGGTCTAATGAGGTAGAGAGAGGCCAGTTGACAAGTGACACAATTGCAGGCTTCTGAAAATGCTGGTAGGGTGAGCAGGCTCCACATGGCCAAGAGATGTCACCCCCCAAAAACCAGAGCACAGCTTAGCGTTCCAACTCTGCTGAACTGCATGAGATGTGCAGAAGCCTCATTTCTGTTCCATATGCCACCCTAGGGGGATGGCAGAGCAAGAAAACAGAGCTGAGAGGCCACACATTTTTAATCACATGCCCGTGATCATATCAGACTACATTTTAAACCAGATTGGACACTCAGGTAATGTCTCCATAGCACCAAGGGATAGTGTGGGTTTAACTTCTAAAGCACATACACAACATACTGTGTTATCACAGGACTTTGAGGAATGTGGCAAATAGAAGTGGGACCATCTGCTATCCATCACTTCAGTGAAACAACTTCAGAAACCCCTTAAGGATGGTCACAGTGGCTCCTCTAGTGTTTTTGAGAATAGATTGGATGTATTCCCAAGATTCGCCTGGTGTCACTAGCCTCAGGTAATGGAGTTTCACAGACTGGAGGAGTGCTAATTAAAGTCAATAGCAGCTTGATGATCCTGCCACCATCCCCTCAATAAACAAGGCCACCTCCTAGTCTGTCAGCTCCATTAGACACTCTGGCTAAGTGATTTAAGTTGTAAGTGAAAAGTTGTCAAGAGAGACTGAAGTGGGCAGAACTGTGAAGGACTAGTTAAGGGTGAACTGAGAGTGAGCTGATCGTGCGCTGAATGAGAGAAGGCTGACCTTTTCACAGTGGTACTCTTTAGGAAGATGCTATACTTTCTATTTGGGATGACAAACTATCTACAATAGCAGGAGGAAAGGTCATTTTCCTTAGATCTTTTCAGGTCAAGGAGGTGTGCTTTTGACCATGAAATATTCCTTAGACATGAAAACAAAAGCATGCAAAAAAATGGCTTTCAGAAGATCACCATCTTAAATAGCCCTAGGAATCATAATTCTTAAATATCTGCTTCAAGGGTCAGCAATGTGACATAGTGGGTTAAGCCTCTGCTTGTGGCACCAGCAATCCCATATGGGTGCCAGTTGGAATCCCAGCTGCTCCACTTCCAATCCAGCCCCTGCTAGTGGCCTGGGAAAACAGCAGAAAGCAGCAGAGAATGGCCCAAGTCCTTTGACCCCTGCATCCATGTAGGAGACCCAGAAGAAATTCCTGGTTCCTGGCTTGGAGAGTGAACCAGCAGATGGAAGCCCTCTCTCTCTCTCTGCCTCTCCCTCTTTCTCTAACTCTGCCCCTCAAATAAATACATAAATCCTTGAAAAAAATTCCTGCTCCTGTAAGGAATACCAAGAAGTGTTATTCCCATAATTCATTCCTAGTTTATATTAAAAGCATCCAATTGACATGATCATTATCCAAATACAGAGTAACCATTAATACGGTTAAAGGTGCCCACCTACATAGCTGGATATAGATATATAGATATAGATGATATAGATATGACTCTATCCCATTGGATCTGTTTCTATGGAGGACCCTTATATTGGGAGAGATCTGTGGGACGTTCTGTGAGAAGAACATTCCAGCAGAAGGAGAGCACGTTCAAAGGTCCTGAGATGAGAAGAGGAAAGAACAAATCCCGGGAAGCTGCAGCTGAGAATGCAGGTGAGAGATGAGCAGAAACAAGCACCTGGAGGCCAAGCCTGCAGGGCTGTGTCTGCTATGACAAGGTCACAGACTTCATTCTAAATCAGAGAGACTACTGAAAGGCTTTGAGCTGGAGAGTAGTAACAAGATCGCTTTAAAAGGCATGTCGGGTGGGGGGGCGCTTTGACACAGTGGGTAAAGTCACTGCTTGCAGTGCCAGCATCCCATATAGGCATTGGTTCAAGACCCAGTTGCTGTACTTCTGATCCAGTCTCAGCTATGGCCTGGGAAAGCAGTAGAAGATGGTTCAAGTGCTTGGGCCCCTGTACTCACATGGGAGACCAGAGGAAGCTCCTGGCTCCTGGCTCCTGGCTTCAGATCAGCCCAGTTCCAGCCATTGCGGCCATTTGGGGAGTGAACCAGCAGAAGGAAGATCACTCACTCTCTGCCTCTGCCTCTCTGTAACTCTGCCTTCTAAATAAACAAACAAACAAATAAATATGTATATATTTCTAGAAAAAAGGTATGTTGTGTGGAGAACAGGCCATGGGATAAAAGTGGATGCAACAAGTTCCATTAGGAGAATGTAATCATGACCCAGGAAGGTGGGGTCAGAGAGGCAGATGAGAATGAAAAGGAGTTGGATTTTGGATCTATTTGCTTGGAGAGGAAACTGTATTTACTGATGGACAGGATGTGTGTGGGGGAGAAAAAGAGGAGGACAGGATTAGGGCCTGAGCAACTGGATACATGGAGGAGAAATTTACAGACCGGAAGGCTCTGGGAGTCACGTGCCTCAAAGTATTGCCGGCTGCCAAGAGCAGTAAGAAAAAGAGAATTATGTCTTCCTTCTTCCATCTCTTCTCTCAGTTCTTCACAAATCTCTCAATTATCCACCTTCATCATGCATTTTTGTTCATTATTTTGTTCCTACCTCCATCCCCTCAATCTCCCTGCCCACTAATATTGCTTTGTGCTTTCTATGGCGCCCTCATGGTTGCTTTAAAAAAATTATCTTTGATGTAATTAAAATATTAGAACTTGAAAAACCCGTAGAGTTAACACTGGTATTCTCACATATACATCTCCCCAGAATCTTCCAGACCTGTTCCTACACTGCCTCAGGCTCAAAAATACTGTTTAACGAGGCTTTGAGGAAGACTTCATCTCCACTGCCAATAGATGACATTGCAGGAAGCTGAGAAAGGTTGACAGGAAGGCTAAACTCTCTTCCCTCACCCTGCCCTTCTGATCAATATCAAGCCTTATGATTTACCCATAGCTCCCTTCCTTCCTCGCTTTAATTCACTGCCTCCATCTCAGTGCTAGACAGGAGCAAGAGTGGATCATGAGGTTTCCATCCATTTTCAAAATTAACCTTTAACTTAGGAATGAAGACAAAAGAGCTTCTTGTTCTCAACCAACATTGCAAACCAGCTGGATGGTTTGGTAAAAGTGTCACCTGTTCTGGATGCTTCACTGGCTGATCTGCATGGCACTAGATAGAGCTTTCCTTTCAATAACTCAGGAAAATACACAGCCCTCAGCCATTTTCCTTCCCTTAGCAGGGAGAGAGCTTTGAAATGTTTTCTCACTCATCGTTTACCTGAATCTGTTTGCTGATAATTTCTGACAGGACAAAATGATCATCAGAACAAAATCACTCAAAGGATTTTCAGGTGCTGGGCTGCAGCTGGGGATTCGTTATGTAACTTTGGTTATGTGGCTCTTTCCCGTTTTCAGGCTGTGGAGCAGACACTGACTAATTAAGATGGGAGTTGATTTATGTGCTTGAGAATCCCAGCTGGCTGGGACAAGCATTGCTCACTCTGGGTTGCGAAATGTTCTCATTGCTTTCTTGATAATGTGGAGTCTTCAGTAGGTGATGATAATGACAGTTCACTTTCACCGTTCTCTGAGGGAGTAAATAAATGCTCAGTCCACAGTGCCTCAGTGCTCACGGCACCCATGGGACTCCCATCCAGCAGCTTGGATGCACCCGGACACTCCTGGGACACTCCCAGGGGCAGCCAACTCACTTCTGAGGGGCAGCCACTTGCTATGCTTCTGCAGGGTCTGAGTGACAGAGTCCCACAAGCATTGCCCCTCTCAGGGCTCCCAATGAGAGACCACATGACCCCAAGAGCAGCTAGAAAGAAGCCCATCCACAAGGCTACTCTCCTCCACGGTCAGAATTTCCCCTTCAGAGCCTGCCCTTTGCAGTTAAAAGACAGGCGTCATTTTCTATTACTTATTGTGCCTAAGATTATGATATTCCCCAGGATGCAACTCAAATAGGATCTACTCAGTATCCACTTGGATCTTACAGTCTAGTTTATTCCATTTCAATGGCTTCAATTTGGGTAAAATAATGCTAATATTAGTGATAACTTTCACTAATTACACAACTTATTCGATAAAATTTATTAGCTAGAAGTCAGAGCCTAATAGGGAAAGAAAGCCAAATCTATCATTAAAACAAGATGCTACAAATACCAGAGTAGAGCACAACTCGTTTACTTGGCCTCCCCAAGTCACCTTACCAGCTGAACCTTTCAGGGGCGTTGAGGCAGAAAACTTCAGGGCACTGAACACCTAACCGGGGGGAAGTTAAGGAGAAGGCTACTGCCGGAAAAACCTCTTGCTTTCTGGACTGTCCAAGGCTAGCCCAGCTGCACTGTCTTCATGAGTCCTTGGACAATACCTGTCCTCATTCTTAACCATTACTGTGGTGTGGCTAATGAGAGGTCTTGTGAATTTGACTTAATGAGTTGAAATAACTCAATGGCAATTAGTACATCTATTATTTTAATATGAATTAATGCTTCTAAAGCCCATGAAAAGAATTTAATTTCTAAAATAAGTTAAGCCCTTCCTATAAGTTCCTACTATTAACATAACTATTTTATTTTTTGGTATAAGTCACAAAGATTATCTTCCAAATCATTCCACTCACAGTGGACCTCAAGCAGCCAGGCTAAACGTAATGAAGTTTTATTGTAAATTGTTCTGAGTTTTTTTTTTTTTAATCCCAAGGAAAGGTTAGGAAGAGCTGATCTCCAGCTGGAATCAAATTCTAATTAATTGGGACTGGCGCTGTGGTACAGTGGATTTAGCCCTCGCTTACAGCTCCAGCATCCCACATGGACATCCATTCAAGTCCCGTCTACTCCACTTCTGATCTAGCTCTCTGCAGTGGAAGATGGCCCAAGTACTTGGGCTCTTGCACCCATGTGGGAGTCCCAGGAGAAGCTCCTGGATCCTGGCTTCAGATGGCCCAGCTCTGGCCATTGTGGCCATTTGGGGAGTGAACCAGCAGATGGAAGTTCGTTCTCTCTCTCTCTCTCTGCCTCTTCCCAACTCCCACCCCATAACTCTGCCTTTCAAATAAATAAATAAATCCTTAAAAAAATTCTAATTAATTGCATTGAGGTAGCTGTGGTTTGGTCCAAACCAACAGTAGTACCTCCTAGCCACAGGTCCTGCCTAACACAGCAAGGGGAGGAAGGCAGCCAGGGCTGCCCTTCCTGTGATCACTGTTGCCTTTGCACTTTCATCCATCAAGCAGAACACAGAATCAATAACCAGTTGGCTAGCAGGGTTTTTTAAGGTTATCACTCCTGATCCCTCATTTGATGGATGCTTAATGTTGATCAAATTGACTGAGAGTTGAAAAGTTGCCTTCTGTTGCAGGTTTGATGAGTTACCATTTTCTGCCAGATAAAGGAGTTTCTACAAAAAGAGAAAAATTACTTTCCTGGATCTGTTCTTGCTCTGCAGAAACAGAAATGCAGCTAAGAGGCTTAAAGTGGAAACACTGGACAACTCAAGTCTTTCCAAGGACTATACCCACTTCCAACAGAGAATTCCTCTTATTCTCTGTGTGTGTTTTGAAGCCATTGTATCTGTTTGTAGGAAAGTATATATAAAAGGCATTCTTTGGAGACTCCAAAGTAAATCAAAATCTATTACATACCTAGGGTCTGGTCTTAGAATAATGCTGAGTGAGAAACCACATTATCAACAGACTCAACCATGAAAGTTTTGATCCATTTTACAATGAATTCCAATTTATCCAAAATGTTTCCAGATTCTTCACATTTTCAGATTATAAAAGAGATGCCAGAGAATGCTGGCATTAATAATGATATTTCCTCCTTTCCATGTTTGCAACTACATCTTCAACAGCAAGAAAGATATATACTAAAAGTAGCTTCAGAATTGCTAACCCAAGCCACTATGAAAGGCAAAGCTACTAAATAGCGCTTAATATTTATTAAAGTCATTATTTCTCTCTCTCTCTCCCTTTCCCTCTGTAACTCTTTCAAAAGAAATAAATAAATCATTGAAAAAAAGGGAGAAAAGGTTGTCAATATTAAGGAATTAGGGAAAATAAAACAATAGAACATATAAGGAAAGAGAACATAAAATTAGCATGTTAATGTTCTGGATAGGACCATCGGTTTGAGGTCTACATAGCTTGTTTACAAGGTTTGATATTGATATAATTATACAGCTCCTTTCCTTTCATTTATTTTTTAATACAATTCAAGGAGGAATACTTTCCTAGTGTTAAACTATCTTTTTATTCCTGGAATAAATCCACATTGATTATGATGTATTAGCTCTTATTATACACATGACTGGATTCTGTTTCCTATCATTTTGCTTTAAATTTGATCTTTGTTTAGGTTGCATTAATATTTTTCTTTTTCCTCCTAAGATGTCTGGTTTGCCACTGAGATTGAATTAAGCTATTGGAATGAATTGGGGAAATACTGATCTTTTATTAGTTTCTTCTTTTTAAGGTTTTATTTATTTATTTGAGAGGCAGAATTAGACAGAGAGAGGGAGAAACAGAGAAAGGTCTTCCATTCACTGGTTCATTCCCCAAAAGGCCTCAATGGCTGGAGCGGAGCTGATTCGAAGCCAGGAACCAGACTTCTGCTGAGTCTCTCACATAGGTGCAGGGGCCTAACCACTTGGGCCATCTTCCACTGCTTTCCCAGGCCTTTTAAGCAGAGAGCTGGATCAGAAGAGGAGAAGAAGGGACATGAATCAGCACCCATATGTGATGCCAGTGCTGCAGGCAGAGGTTTAACCTACAGTGCCAGCCCCTTTTTATTAGTTTCTAGTTTTATTTCATGAAAGTAGAATGATTTGTTCCTTCAAAGCTTGTTAGAACATGCCTGTAAAAATCATCTGGGTTGGTGTTTCCTTTCTGTGAAAATTTTAACTTTTATTTATTTCCCTTAAGGATTTTGGGCCAGTCATAATATTTCTATTCTGAGAATGTTTCAGGGGATCACATTTTTCTAAAAACATGCCTATCTTGTATAAGTTTCCAATTTTATCACCATAAAAGTATTCATAATGTTTCTTTATTTTCTTTTAGTTTTAATTATATCCCTTTTCATATTTCCTATTACTATGTTTTTCCTTCATTAATCACACCAGAGATTTGGATATTTTATTAGTCTCCTCCAAGGACCAACTTTGACTCTGTTGATGATCTTTAAGAGACATTGCTTTTAAAAATTGTCATGCACTTAATTTTATGTTCTTGTTTTGTATACATTCTATTGTTTTATTTTCCCTAATTCCTTTATATTGACACTTAATCATTTCTTCTTTTTTTAAAAAAAATTTTATTGACTTATTGATTTTGAAAGAGTTACACAGAGGGAGGGAGCGGGAGAAAACTACTATCCACTGGTTCACTGCCCAGTTAGTCACAACAGCCAGTACTGGGTCAGGCTGTACACCCCATATTAACACAAAGCTCACAATGCCTTTTTATTATTTTATCTTTAAATAGAAACTATCTTCTAATGCATGCATTCTCAATGTGTTTATGCTGCAATCCGAGGGGGCAAAATATAGTCCTTGAAAGTTGAAAAAAATGTTCAATATTACAGTGGCTATTATTCCTCCCAAAGTCCAGGGAACACAAACAGATATACAGTGTATCTATAGTGTTAAAATTCAAGGGTGAGGGGGGTTTGATTATAGGAAAATGTTTAAAAAGGAACCTCAATGGAATAATTAAAAACAGATTGAGAAACATTATTTTATTTTTTAAAAAAGATTTATTTATTTATTTGAAAGGCAGAGTAACAGAGAGGCAGAGAGAGAGAGAGAATATCTTCCATCCACTGGTTTACTCCCCAAGTGGCTGGAGCTGGGCTGGTCTGAAGCCAGGAGCTTCTTCCTGGTCTCTCACGTTGGTGCAGGGGCCCAAGGACTTGGGCCATCTTTTACTGCTTTCCCAAGCCGTAGCAGAGAGCTGGATAAGAGTGGAACACCCAGGACTTGAACTGGTGCCCATATGGGATGGCAGCACGCAGGTCTTTACCTGCTATGCCACAGCGCCAGCCCTGATAGACATTATTTTAAAGAGATTTAAACAGTAAAGAAAAAAGATTTTCAGTTACCCACAACAGGTAGTTCTCCTTTCCAATACTATTCATTCCTTTCTGGAGATCCAGATTTCTACCTGACAGTTTTTTTTTTTTTTCTGCCTGAAGGACTTCCTGTAGAATTTCTTAGAATGCAGGTGGTTTCATGATGAGTTCTTCCAGCTTTTGTTGATGTGAAAAGTCTTTATCCTTACTTCTGAAAGATATTTTTTATTATAATTATTGCCTTATTCACAATGTACAGAGGGATTTTATCATACAAACTGGTGATCCTACAGGCACTGGTCGTGGAGGAGAGTCTATTTTTGGTCAACTGTACGGTGATCAAGCAAGTTTTTTTGAGGCGGAAAAAGTGCCAAGAATTAAACACAAGAAGAAAGGCACTGTGTCCATGGTGAACAATGGCAGTAATCAGCATGGATCTCAGTTTCTTATCACTACAGGAGAAAATCTAGATTACCTTGATGGTGTTCATACAGTGTTTGGCGAGGTGACGGAAGGCATGGACAGTTAAGAAAATTAATGAGACCTTTGTTGACAAGGACTTTGTACCATATCAAGATATAAGGATAAATCATACAGTGATTTTAGATGATCCATTTGATGACCCTCCTGATTTATTAATTCCTGATCAATCACCGGAACCCACAAGGGAACAATTAGATAGTGGCCAAATAGGAGCAGATGAAGAAATTGATGATTCTAAAGGAAGATCAGCTGAAGAAGTAGAAGAAATAAAGGCAGAAAAAGAAGCCAAAACTCAAACTATTCTTCTAGAGATGGTGGGAGACCTACCTGATGCAGCTATTAAACCTCCAGAAAATATGCTGTTTGTTTGTAAATTGAATCCAGTGACCACAGACGAGGATCTGGAAATAATATTCTCAAGATTTGGGCCAATAAGAAGTTGTGAGGTTATCCGGGATTGGAAGACAGGAGAGTCCCTCTGTTATGCTTTTATTGAATTTGAAAAGAAAAAAGATTGTGAGAAAGCGTTCTTTAAAATGGACAATGTACTTATAGATGACAGAAGAATACACGTGGATTTTAGCCAGTCTATTGCAAAGGTTAAGTGGAAAGGAAAGGGTGGGAAATACACTAAGAGTGATTTCAAGGAGTATGAAAAGGAACAGGATAAACGCTCTAATTTGGTCCTGAAAGATAAAGTAAAACCCAAACAGGATGCAAAATACGATCTAATCCTAGATGAGGAGGCAGAAGACAAAGTCCAGTCACTCACACACCAGTAAAAAACACAAGAAGAAAAGCCGGCACTGCTCTGAAGAGAAGGAAGATGAGGACTACATGCCGGTCAAAAATACTAACCAGGATATCTACAGGGAGATGGGGTTTGGTCACTATGAAGAAGAAGAAAGCTGTTGGGAGAAACAAAAGAATGAAAAGAGAGACCGACCTCAGAACCAAAGTCGCAGCCGATCTCGAGAAAGGGATGGCGACTGTAGCAATAGTCACAGGTCCAAGTACCACACTGACTCTTACGTAAGAGAGAGGGGTAAGAGGAGAGGCCGGAGCAGAAGTCCAAAGAAATCTAAAGAAAAATCCAAGTACAGATGAAAGCATGAGTGGGCACTGTAGAGTGCCAGAAAAACAGATGTTCAGATTGCGTTAGAGCAGTTATAGACTCCACTTGTCATTAATACTGAATCCACAGGGCAGTGGGCAATGAGAGTAACAAATTGGCCGGTTTTTTTTACATTAATTTTATTGCTATACATAAATGTCCATCTTCATTTTTAAAGTTCTTCACATTTTCAGTCTTTTTAAAAGTTAAGTATTTCAAACTACAGAAATACACAGCCATGTATATATGAAGCATAAGGAATAATAAATGTAAATATCTGTGTAGCCATCAGCCAGCTTAAAAAATGAACCAATACCTATACTTTAGAAGTCCTCTGTGTGGCCTCCCTCTTCAGTAATTGTTACTCTGAGTTTTGTCAGTCTTGCTAGTTGTTATAGTTTCACAATGTATGCTTGTATCCCTAAATGTAATGTTAATTTTTGTATGTTTTTAAATTTTATATAAATGGCTTAATGTATATTTATTCTTGTGACTTTCTTTTTGCAATTTAGTATTTTTAGAAACTCACTCATTTTTGCTGTATAGTGAATGAATTTACCACAATTTATACATTCTGTTGATGGACATTTGGGTTTTGTTTGTTTGTGTGTTTGCTGTTGCAAACAACACTGCTATGAACATTATCTGGGAGTGATACTATCATCTTGGTCTTTACCAGACAATGCCACATTCTGTTTCAAAGTGACTGTCTAGTTTGTAGCCCTACCAGCACATAAGTGTTCCTTTTGTTGCCCATCATTTGTAATACTTAGTAATTTCAAATTTCAACAATTTTGCCATTTAGTGGATGTTGAGATATTTTATTGTGATTTAAGGTTTTGTCACTGGTTTTAAGCAATTTGATTATGATGTGCTCAGTGTTTCTTCTTCTGTATTTGTTTACTTACGGATTTATGGTTTATCATCAAACGTAGAAAAAAATAGCACATTTCTGCAGTTACATTTTTCTGTCTCTTTGCTACCTCTCACTCTTCTGGGGTTCAATCACTGTTAGGTCACTTGACATCTCATAGCAGTTGATACTATGTTCAATTTTGTTGTCTTTGTCCTGTCTCTGTTTTCATTGCTGTGTCAAGTTCATTATTTTTTTTTTTCTGAAGTGCCTCATCTCCTATTCGTACTACCCATGTATTTTTTACCTCAGACTTTATATCTAATCTTTTCCTTTTTTTTGGACTTTCGGAGTATACATGTATGTATAATACCTGTTTGTTCATTCTACATATGTATCATTCTTCTGTGTTTGTTTATGTTGATTCCCCCTAGCCCCTGACCTTCAACCTGATACTGAGTTATAACTTTTACCTATAGTTTTTGGTTTTTACATTGTGCTGGAGTTTTCGATATTCCTTTAAACATCTTGAGTTTTGTTCTGGGACATGTAAGTTATTTGGAAACAGTTTTATCCTTCCTTAGCCTGCTTTATAAGCTTAGGTGAGATGGGACCAGAACCGCCTCTAATCCAGGGATGATTTGGCCCTCTGTTGAGGTAATCGCCTTCTGAGCAGTCTTCGCTTACACTGTTTCTCCACCCTGGCCATTAGGGACATGAAGTACTCTGAGTTCTATGCGAGCTCATATTTTACCTCCTGTTCCTTTCTGGTTTTTCTTTCCTGGCTGTGGGTACTTTCTTCACACGTAAACACTGGTGTTTAGCTGAAGGCCCAAGGAAAGCCTCCATAGCTCTCTCCTCTGCAATAGTTTTCCTTCCAAATTTTACATTGGCTTCCCTAAATTCTCTGCTCAGGGAGATTCCCAGGCTCTTTTTGGATTTCCTTCCCTAGCCTGTGCTACAGCTTGCAAATTCCATGTAGTAGGGCCTACCTTGCTTGTTTTTCTTCTTAAGAGTAGTTGTCCTGGGTGGGCATTTTACCTACTGGTTAAGATGCCCATTAACATGCCTGCATCTCGTCATGGAGTACCTGGGTTCCAGTCCCTGGCAAAGCTCCTGTTAGCTTCCTGCTCAAGTGCACGCAGGGAGGCAGCAGTGATGGCTTGAGTAGCTGGGTCCCAGCTGCTCAGGTAGGAGCCCTGGATTGCATTCCCAGCATCGGCTCAGCCCAGTCCCAGCCATTTGGAGATTGAACCAGTGTACGAAAGCTTACTCTTTATCTCTCTGCCTCTCTGATCAGTTAATTTTAAAAAAGTCACTGTTGTATACTGGATATTGTCCAATGTCTGAAAATTTTGTTGTATACATATTGTAAAGGTTTTTACTTGCTTAAGATGGCAAAGTTAATTATTTCATGGCATCTTCATCATGTTCGCTAGTTTATTTCCTATAAATTGGAAGTTCTGCTTGTTTGATTAGAATTAGGTTATACATTTTAGGCAGAAAATTAAGTTTAATCATAAACTTACTAGCCTTTCTTGCTGTATTTTATGCTTTTTGTATTTTAAGAAATCCTTACCTATCCTGAACTAATAAAGATATTCTAAAAAAAATTTAAAAAGAAAGATTTTTTGCTATATATAGATATCTAGACTGATAATTTTCTCACAGTACTGTAAAACTGTGGTCTCATCGTCTTCTGCTTTGCATTGTTTCCAAGAAAATATCTGTTGTTATCCCTCTCTATAAATAATCTGTTTTTCCCCATTCCTCTCTGGCTGCCTTCCTCCTTATAAAATTGAAGCAATTTAATCATATATGTTTTGGAGAGATTCTTGTAGTTTTATAATTTATCAAATTTGGAAATTTTTCATTGTTTTGAGTTTTTAAAAACAGATTTACTGGTATATAATTCACATCATACAATTAACTCTTTTAAAATGTAAAATTCAATGGCTTTTAGTATAGTCATAGAGTTGGACAATCAATTTTCATTTTCATCACCCCAAAAAGAAATCAGTCCCCACTGTCAATCACTTCCCAAAACCCCAAACTATAAGTCCTAGACAACCATAATCTATTTTCTCTTGCTACAGACTTGTCTATTCTGGATTTAAACAAAAAAAGGAACCATACAATAAATGTCTTCCATGACCGCCTTCTTTCACTTCATGTAATATTTTCAAAATTTACCCGAGTTGTAGCATGTATCAGTATTTCATCTCTTTTTATTGTTGATTAATATTCTATCAAACGGATATACCACATATTATTGTCCATTCATCAATTTATGTTCATTTGGGTTGTTTTCATTTTTAAACTATTAAGATTAATGCAGTTATGGACATGTGTGTACAACTCTTTTTATGTATATACATTCAGTTCTCTTACCTATACACCTAGGAGTAGAATTTCTGAGTCACATGGTAATTCTCAGTTTAACTTTTGAGAAACCACTAAACTGTTTTCTACAATGACCACACAAGTTTATTTTCCCACCAATAGTGTATGAGAGTCCTAATTATTCTACATTCTAAATACCATTCCTTTAATTTTTGGCTTGTCTTTTAGTATCATAGATAAGTAAGTCTAATCAAGGTCACAAATATCCATGCCTCTTTTCCTTTAACAGAGTTTAGTTTTTGCTTTTACATTTAGTTATTTGATCCATTCTGACTTAATTTTTATATATGGTATGCGGAAGGGCTTCAACTTCATTCTTTTTCATGGGCTATCCACCTGTCCCAGCACCAGGCGGTGAAGAAACTATTCTTTCCCTAATTGAATTGTCTTGATGTTCTTGTTGAAAATCAACTGACCACTAACTGTGAGGGTTTCTTTCTGATTCTCAATTTTATCCCATTCATTTAAATGCCTAATCTCAAGGCAGTGCCACACTATCTTGAAAAGTACCAGTGAATAGTAAGATACAATAGTTACTGGTTTTTATATACCTAATTTAACAGCAACAACTTCTACAGAGTTAAAACTACAGAAGATGCAAGTAGAAAATGACAAACACAGCAAAAAAGAGGAGAATTTAGTATACTTCTAATAGTCTGAAACCGATCATATAGATAAAAATTAGTAAAGCTATAGAACACCTAAATAACAGCTATCAAAATAGAATTTATAGTTAGACATCAAACTCTGAGCCACAACAATAGAGTGTACATTTCTATTTCAAGCAATCATGGAATATTCAAGAAAACTGACTATAATTAGACCACAAACAAACAAAATACTATTAACTTTTGGGTCAAAGGAGAAACATATGATAAAATGATAATTTCTAATAATGACAGTGGAAACAGTATATATCAGAATCTGTGAAATACAACAATTATCAGAGGAAAGGTTCCTGCATTAAATGTCCTAGTGAGGTTGAGTGCTTGGCCTAGCAGTTAAGACGCCAGTTGGTATGCCTCCATCCCACACTGGAGTGCTTGCATTTGATACCCACCTATGCCCCCTAACTCAAGCATCCTGCTAATGTGTACCATGGGAGATGGCAGTGATGGCTCAAGTGACTGGGTCCCTAACATCCGCATGGGAGACCTAGATGAGTTCTCAGCTTCCATCTTTGCTCTTGGCCATTGTGGGTATTTAGGGAGTGAGCCAATAGATGGAAGCTCTCTATCTGTCTATCATCACTCAGTCTCTCAAATAAATACAAAATTTAAAAACTAATTCTCAAGCTATTAAATATTTAAAAGTAAAAAGGAATTAATTAAAGATCTAATTTTTTAAATCTACAAAAAGAACAAAAGGAAAACCAAAACACTTAATAAAAAGTGTTAATAAAAAAAAAGTGTTAATAAAAAGAGGCTGGCGCGGCAGCTCAGTAGGCTAATCCTCCACCTGCGGTGCCGGCATACAAGGTTCTAGTCCCAGTCGGGGTGCCTGATCCTGTCCGGGTTGCCCCTCTTCCAGTCCAGCTCTCTGCTGTGGCCCGGGAAGGCAGTGAAAGATGGCCCAAGTGCTTGGGCCCCTGCACCCCATGGGAGACCGGGAGAAGCACCTGGCTCCTGGCTTCAGATCAGGGCGATGCGCTGGCCGCAGCGGCCATTGGAGGGTGAAACCACGGTAAAGGAAGACCTTTCTTGCTGTCTCTCTCTCACTGTCCTGTTAAAAAAAAAAAAGTCACCAGACATTAATGACTTAGACAATAGAAAACCAACAAGA